CGTGTTACTAGGGTATCAAATTGAAATAAAATAACGAAATTAAATATCAACACGTTAATGATAAATGACTATCCGCTATCAGTATTAATGACTATTTGCTACTCAGAATAATTAAAATTGCCTGAACTACATATGAAGAATCTTTCTATAGAACCCCTTGAATGGTCTAATTCACTACCGTCCTAAAAACCCGACCATTCAAAGTGTTTTGTTCAAATTCACAAAAATACAGTTGACTAACATACTAGAAAACGTATCCACCTATAACACGATGACACGCAGTTTAAACAACAGTTAACTGGTTTTTTTGTTACATATCAATGTAACATTTTCGAAGGGACACTTACATGCTCCCTGTACGTTGATAGATTTGCTGAAATGTATCGTGTATTGCATTTGGTTTTGCTTCACTGCGCCCACTATTATCTATCTTTGCCTATAGTGGTTTTTTGCCAACAATATTCTACACACTCCTTGATGAATCAATTCTATGTCTGGTAGAACACTAGAAATATATGTAAAATGTATTTTACGTTCAGAAATGTGGAATTAAACCCACGTCCTCCATTTGCAACTAAGCTGTACCCTGTTTCCCTTTTAAACGTGGTCACGTGGTAGGGTAGTGTGGAATTGAAAATGTTCAATATCAGAAGTGATGCTTCAAAACTCCTTTTCTTGTACATGTGTAAACATTATGGAAAAAATATTAAGATGACAAACTTACATACATTTTGGATTGCCCATCATTTCTTTAATACATGAAAGTTCACTTACCTCCATATTGCTTGAGACTGTGGAAAAATAAAGCTTCACACCCATCTTGTATTTTGTTGAATATGTCTATTTTACCAATGCAGTGAGCAAAACAATCAACTAAGTTGGAGTTAACTATGCCTGACTTGCTTCTAATGCGTTTTATTGGGTTGACTCCAAAGAAGATAAAGACAACATGCATAAGCCATACTTTAGTACTGTAGTATACTTTAATTAAATAAATAAGGCCAAGAAAGGTAAATTGTTTGTCGAGTGATAGTCATTTTGAAAAACTAATAGTTTACTTTTCTCCTCTAATAAAAACAGACATGTCAAAATATGAAAGCAGATATGAAATGGTATTTCTGACCTAAAGGAATCAATAGACTTTTTTGATAAATGTATTTGGACATGTTTTCTCATCAGTATTGTGAAAATTATTACACTCTAACGATCGTTAAAGCTGCTTAATAAGCAATATTCAAAAACTCAAGAAATAGGGTTTGATCAGGGAATTTACTGGAAAAAACTTTAAGACCTTTAAATAAGGTGCTATAGATTACCAGGTTTTTTGGACACTAAGTTACCACTAAACAGACAATTTTGTCTTATCTAACAGAATGGATCTACTCACTGATTATGAGGGTAGTCATCAGTGTAATTAAACAGTTCTGTCCTGGCACCCTTATTTCTAAAATATCATAAGTAAAGTCCCCAAATCAGCATCAAATCAACAGGTCATCTTTTAATTGGTTGGATAATTTTTGGTTGGTTAAGACATGACCAGTGAATTTTCAATGGTATTGCTGAGTTAAAACTAAAACAAGGCATTAACAGTACAAAATGTCATCACATGTAAACAGTTACAAATGTGTAACAATTGTTACAGTTCACTAAATATTAACACTGAACTCTTAATGCTGATCACAAATAATCAAAGCAACACTATATTAACCAGAACAACGGCAACGCCAAAGCGTAGCGAATTCCATCGAACAGAAATGGCTGGAATAGCAAATATCATAAAACAACATACCAGAAAGGCCACCATTTTCAAAATGGTTGCTCACTAGCCAAGTTGTCATCAGAAGAAATAATATGCTTTTAAGTAGCCACCTCTAAAATTTTAGAAAAATCGCACACGTACTTGTAAAATTACACACATAAAAATGGTGGCCATTTTTCAAAATGGCGGACTACTCCCCAAAGTTTTATTAGACAATGTGCCATGCTTAAAGTATTCACATATCAAATATGAACAAAATCGCTCCACTACTTTTCGAATTATAGTAAAATACGTTAAAATGGCGGCAATTTTTCAAAATGGCCGCCTTCTACCAAAAGTCTCATTAGACAGTGTGCCATGCTTATAGTATTCATATACCAAATATGAACAAAATCGCTCCACTACTTTTCGAGTTATAGTAAATTACGTTAAAATGGCGGCCATTTTGAAAAATGGCTGCCTTCTACCAAAAGTGTCATTAGACAGTGTGCCATGCTCATACATATTCACGTACCAAATATGAACAAAATCGCTCCACTACTTTTCGAGTTAAAGTAAAATAAGTTAAAATGGCAGCCATTTTTCAAAATGTCCGCCATTTTGAAAAATGGCTGCCTTCTACCAAAAGTGTTTTTAGACAGTGTGCAATGCTTATAGTATTCACATACCAAATATGAACAAAATCGCTCCACTATTTTTTGAGTTATAGCAAAAATCGTAAAATGACGAGTAAAGGCCGCCATTTTTCAAGATGGCTGCCATGTGCTTCTTTAATATCTACATTTGTAGCATTATTAATGTCCTTTATATTTTTTTACATTTAAAACATATTGCTAATACAGTTTTACATATTACACCTAAATTACTGTAAAATCGGCACTAAAATGGCCGCCATTTTGAAATGAGTGGCCATTTTGAAAATCGGCTTTCGAGCAGAACTTCTACCCCCATAGGGTATATGTGTACAAAATATGAACAAAATCGGGCCAACGGTATTTGAGTTATTGCCCGGACGGACGGACAGACGGACGGACGTACGTACGTACGGACGTACGTACGTACGGACGGACGGACGGACGGAGGCGTTCCCTATATCCCTCCGAACTTCGTTCGATGGGATAATGATACGTGTCAAGTTAGTTATTGTGTCACATCATTAGTCTCTTAGTTACACTCGACAAAACATAATATTTTATGATGTTCCATGTTTTATTTATATTTCATGTACTGGCTGTTTAGAACAGTTTTTTGATAATAAAAAAGCGACATACAATACATTCCACAAAAATTGGCAAGCTGTATCTTATTCAATTGAATATCAATAACATATAATAAATTGTTTTTGAATTCAGTGTGTAGTCACATTCCTAATCTTATACGAGGGTCGTTCAATAAATACTAATACAAATACTCTTTTTTTCCATGTTCATCAATTTGACATTTTTGAAGAATGAATGCAGCGAATATGTTTAAATACTGACCAAACTTAATGAATTCACACTTGGCACTATAAAAGTTACAGTGAGTTTAATGGATGAGATGACCCAGAGTCAAGTAGTCCAAATCAACTATATCAATAATCATTTTTGCTATTTCGTAATCCATCAGAGACAGAACATAATGGTTCTATCAAATATTAAATTCAATCTTCTAATGTTCTCCTATGTAGTTCTACTTTAATTTTTACTCCCATCCACCAGAGGCATATCTCACCATAATGATACTGTCAAACCATTAAACACGGAAATGAAAGCATTATTTGAGTCAGAATTAATTGAACAACCCTTAAATACCCAAGGAGGATTGGATCCCAGGCTTTTACTGAACCATTGGATTCTTCAAAACAAAGGCACATTCACAAACAAGTAACTCATTTTACCACATTGCATTAAAAATACAATAGGAATGCAAAGAATAAAAAATTTAATGATTATCAAAAGTTTATTGACCATAATTCATACAATAGTCTAATTGGAATGTCCACCCATGATTGTACCCAATTTTTGCTAAATAAATGTTTCTCAAATACATTATAGATACTGTATGTATATAGCTACTAATTTTACAGAATATAATATTTGTACAGGTATCATAAACTTGGCAGTGATACTTTTGAAATGATCTTGAAGGCTAATATGACCTTTTGGTATTTTGACATTGACCTCTAAACTGTCAAGGTGAGCTGCATATTTTTGTATAGACTATATTGTGGTTAGGTACACTAAATACAACCTTATCAAAAGTTGTCCTTAATTATCAAAGGCAAGAAAGACCATTTGTGTAATGGCATTGAATGAATACACAAGAATAATTTTTGGGGAGTAAAATAGAATGGCAACTAGAAAAACTGCATCTCCCCGGAGTTGCAAATCCCATTGAACAAAACATATCTAATCACTTGTCATTTGGAACATTTTATGGTAGACTGGTAGAAACAACCAGGTAATAGCGGTGCGTCCTTTGGCAAAATTTAATTTTTTTTTTTTGATATTTTGACTAACGAACAGGAAGGTTTTTAGAGTATAGTCACTTGTCATTTGGAACATTTTATGGTAGAAACAACCAGGCAATAGCGGTGGGTCCTTTGGCAAAACTTATACCCATGAGGTGAATGACACCTTCTTGAGTAGAGGTCCTATGCCCATAGTGACAAGCCTGTAAAATTCAGATAAAATCTGATAACTGGTACTTGGGCTATCAGAAATTTATTTTATTTTTTCTTAAAATGATGACCATTTTGGAGTTTGCATTCATCTTCAAAACTCCTTCTTAAGCAGGTTCCTATGTCCATAGGCCTTAGCACATAAAGTCTTTACAAAATTTGTAAACTGGTGTTTGAGTTATCAAAGATCATATCGTTAGAAAAAATGGTGGCCATTTTGAAGTGAGCAGCCGTATTCAAAATTCTTGAGCAGAGGAACTATTCCCAAAACTATGCCCATAATGCATTTTGCCAAGACTGACAAACTAACAAACAGATAGACAGACGAAAGGATGGCTTTTCTATATCCCACTCTTGTTGGGATAAATATGAAAAAAAATATTTACACATGGATTGTATACTTTGGTTCAAGCATGTATGTAATACAATATGCATACATATTTAATGACACAGATTAAATAGTTTATAATACCATTAATATTGGATAATACTACGTACATATACACCATTGCACACATTTATGGAAAACATTTATTTGTTTTTTCCCATTAAAACATTTTATATTCTGGTTTTAGAGTGTGGTCGACAACATTTTATTCATTAATTTTTCCTTAAAATGTGCGATAGTGTAGGCATTTAATACTCAGTTGGCAATTTTAATGAATAACAGTTGATAAAATATTCCAATGAAGCTTTTTAAATGTTTTGTATCAATAATAGAATGATATACATGTAGCTTTAAAACATTCCTGCTTTTCTTCTGGCAAAATTTCCATGTCATTTCACTAGAAATGATTATTTTTTTTACAAATAAGAAATGTGAAATATGACTGTTGCCGAATGAAATGTGAATGTCCCATAATTTTTTATATGGGTTTCACATTTTCACATTTTGTCCTTATGCCCATACACCAAATGTTACTCAAAGTACATAACAGTGGAATATACACACATGGAGCTATACACACATGGAGCTATAAGTACTTAATACATAAGCAATATAGTTTAACATTGTAGTATACATACTATTGTAAATCAATGGTGTAAAATGCACCATGGGATCCAGGGCTTTCATCGAGGTATTATTGCTCATTTGAGGACAAATCACAGCGCAGTGCCTTCATGAACTCCCATAGCGCATTCTAACAATTCATTAAGTCTATGTGATGCACACAAAGGTGTATATTTTGTGACAAAATCGCATGTGAAAGAAACATTGAATATTAGAAATACATTGGATTTTCTTTACATGATAAAACATTACAATATCAAAGATACGGTGCAATATATTTTTATAAAATCATTTTTGGGGTAATTTCACAAAAATGCATATTCATTGCACCAATTTTATATTATACACATGTAGACATAATAGAGTTCCTTTGTGAATTCTATCCAATGTTGGCAAAACTACCTTTTACTATGAATGTACCGCAGCATTGAATGTTTATGACCATATTCAAAGTCGTTGCAATATGTGAGATTTTTCAATATATTCCAGTAAACAGTCCATACACCTTGAAGATCATTGATCCCTCAGTTCTGTAATCAGAGAATAATATTATCAGAAAACATGAAAAGCAACATCTAAAAAAACTATCAAACAGTATAAACCTATAAAACCAATACTCAAAAACACATGAAGAAAATTAGTATGCATGACCATATTTTTTCATTTAGGAATTGTTCTCTCCTTTTTTAAATCTGCCTTTTCCCATTTCCAAATATAATCAACTGAAATGTTCCTTGAAATATTAACATTTGCCACTTGAAACAGCACTGTATATATAAATCATCAAAATACAATTGTATAAATTTGTGCATAAAACAAATATCAATATCTAAATCATTATCAATTCAATAATTAGTACAAAGTAAACAGATTTTCTCTATTCACGTTAGCATCTGAAAAGCAGAGTATTAGCAAAATTTAAATTTATGATATACATGTACATGCTTTTTAGCGCTGAGCTTTACATGTTCTTGGTTTCATGAGGTTCTGAGGTACCAGTTAATATGATTCTCAGCATACATACTAACTATTATGCATCTCCATGGTTAGGGTAACATTAAATTCAATGATCAGATTATGAACATGTACATGTATCATAGATCACATTATCAAAAGATATATATTCTTCACATCACAAAAAATTCTTATTTATATTTTGCAATATACTCTAAGAGCGAGGAGGAAAATTCTTAATAAATGGAGTATAGTTGGTTTGGCAGCATTTTCAGTTAGAGGGAAGTCTTGGATGAAAATTCTACCTAGGTGATAGCTTCACAGAGTGGTACATAATTCTTTTTTCTCAGGGGTTAGCCCCCCACCCCCCAAAAACACCCCACCCCGGGAAAATAATTTTTTCATTCTCAATAACTTTAGATATCTTGATGTTTGTAAGTTACATACATAGAGATTATATATATGAATCATTTGCAAAATAAAAAATGCCAATCACTCTTACAGAATTTGAAAAATAGTACAAAGTATGTACCCCAGGGGGCAAATTCGTGACCCATTTTCTTACTATTTAGAGCCTCACTTTTCAATCAGACACTGGAAGACATTGGAAAATTTCATGTGAAGTGTCCAGTAGCAGGGCTATAAGCCCTGAAAGGTTCAAACTAATTGAATCAGTATGAGCCGAGAAAAAAATTGTTGATTTTTTGAAAAATTTGACATTTTTGAGAGGGGTGATTTTGTGTATGACTATAGCTGATGCCTATGGTTTCCAGATCTATCTCTCTTTGATGATAAATATGGTTTTGAAGTATGGAACTAAGATGTAAAAAATAATTAAAATGGGTTTTAAGGAAGTTTAATGTTTTAAACAAGTTCAAAATTCTAAGAATTGCACAATATCAGGTCTGAATTTACGAATTTTAGGTAAGACCTTGGACGAGCCTTAGATTTTTTACATCTGTCCCCCTTTGATGATATTTATGGTTTTGTAGTGTGGAACTAAGATGTACAAAATAATTTAGATGGTTTTTAAGAAGGTTTAAGGATTTTAACAAGTTCAAAATTTGAAGAATTGTACAATATCAGGTCTGAATTTACGAATTTCAGGTAAGACCTTTGGTGAGCCATATATTTTTCACATCTGTCGCTCTTTGATGATATGTATGCTTTTGTAGTGTGAAAATAATATGTAAGAAAAAACTTAGGTGGACTTGAAGAAGGTTTAAGGATTTAAGTGAGTCCAAAATTTGAAAAATTGTACAATATCAGGTCTGAATTCACGAATTTAAGGTATGACTTTGGATGACCCTTATGTTTTTATATCTGTCCCTCTTTGATGATATTTATGGTTTTTTATAGTAACGAACTAAGATGTAAAATATAATTTAGATGAATTTTAAGAAGGTTTAAGGACTTTAATAAGTTCAAAATTTGAAGAATTGTACAATATCAGGTCTGAATTTACAAATTTCAGGTAAGACCTTTGGTGAGCCATATATTTTTCACATCTGTCCCTCTTTGATGATATTTATGCTTTTGTAGTGTGAAAATAATATGTAAGAAAAAACTTAGGTGGAGTTGAAGAAGGTTTAAGGATTTCAGTGAGTCCAAAATTTGAAGAATTGTACAATATCAGGTCTGAATTCACGAATTTAAGGTATGACTTTGGATGACCCTCATGTTTTTATATCTGTCCCTCTTTGATGATATTTATGGTTTTTTATAGTAACAAACTAAGATGTAAAATATAATTTAGATGAATTTTAAGAAGGTTTAAGGACTTTAATAAGTTCAAAATTTGAAGAATTCTATAATATCAGGTCTGAATTTACGAATTTCAGGCAAGACCTTTGGTGAGCCATATATTTTTTACATCTGTCCCTCTTTGAAGATATGTACGATTTTGTAGTGTGGAACTAAGATGTAAAAAAACAATTAAGATGGATTTTAAGAAGGTTTAAGGATTTTCACATGTTCAAAATCTTGGCGCATTGTCCAATATTAGGTCTGTAATTAACACTACATTTCAAGTATAACCTTGGTTGGCTCTAAACATTTAAAAAAATGTTGACATGGGGTCCCTATTTATCATTTTTCGAATTGTTCGATTGATATTTTTATTATCATGGGGACTTCACTTGAAAGAAAACATATTGTTTTAATAAAAACCACTGTATTTATGCCCAGAAAGTACTCATGGTGAAATATATGACCGTCTTAAATCACTTGCCATACTGGCTTATGTCATTCCTTTTCATGTCTATTTGCTAATAATCCCCAAAGTGCGCACTTTATTTCAGGAAAACTAAAGATTTCTACAATAATGTATTATTTTCATAAGAATGGTCACCATTCTTATTATTTTGGGAGAATTTAAACATTTTTCACCCATTTTTTGCTCTTTGAATCTATTATAACTTCATCAATTTTTAACACATCGTGAATCTTTTTGGAGATATTGTATTTGAGATTGTAAGGAATAGATTGGTACATGAATTGTACATGTTGCTTGTAATTTTGTCACACCCATAGATCTGATTCTGCCTTTAAACTTAACAAATTGTGAATCTTTTTGGAAATATTGTATTTGAGATTGTAAGGAATAGATTGGTACATGAATTGCACATGTTGCTTGTAACTTTGTCAATCCCATAGATCTGATTCTGCCTTTAAACTTCCTTAAAACCCATCTAAATTATGTTTTACATCTTAGTTCCATACTACTAAACCATATATATCATCATAGAGAGATACATACCTGAAATTCATTAATGTCAGAAGATATGATATTATTGTACAATTTGTCAAGTTTTGAACAGGTTTAAAACCTTAAACCTCCTTAAAACCCTTCTAAATTATGTTTTACATCTTGGTTTCATACAACAAAACCATATATGTTATCATAGAGAGGTATATGTAAAAAACGGATAAGGGCCATCCACAGTTATACCTAAAATTAACAAATTCCAGACCTGTTATTGTACAATTCTTCAATTTTTTAACTTGTTTAAACCTTTAGCTTCTTTAAAACCTGTCTAAATTATGTTTAACATCTTAGTTCAACACTACTAAAGCATATATGTCATCAAAAAGGGATAGATGTAAAGAACATAAGGCTCACCTTAATACCCAAAATTCATTAATATCAGCTCTGATACTGTACAATTCGTCAAAATTTGAACTTGTTTAAAACCTTAAACTTCTTTAAAACCCATCTTAATTATGTTTTACATATTAAGTCCATACTACAAAACCATATATGTTATCATAGAGAGATGTATGTAAAAAACGAATAAGGGCCATCCAGAGTTATACCTAAAATTAATAAATTCCAGACCTGTTATTGTACAATTCTTCAATTTTTCACTTGTTTAAACCTTAAACTTCTTTCAAACCTGTCTAAATTTTGTTGTTTAACATCTTAGTTCAACACTACTTAAGCGTATATGTCATCAAAAAGGGATAGATGTAAAAAACATAGTACCTAAAATTCATTAATTTCAGCTCTGATATTGTACAATTTGTCAAAATTTGAACTTATTTAAAACCTTAAACTTCTTTTAAACCCATCTTAATTATGATTTACACATTAGCTCCACATTACTAAGCCATATATATCATCAAAAAGGATAGATGTTAAAAATATAAGGGCCAAGCAAGGTTATACTTTAAATTCATTAATTTCAGATCTGATATTGTACAAAACGCCAAAATTTTGAACTTGTTTAAAACGTTAAGCTTCTTTAAAACTGATGTAAATTATAATATACATATTTCCACACAACTAAACCAAATATATCATGAAAAGGGGATAGGTGTTAAAATTAAAATCATATGGGCTAACCAACGTTATACCTGAAATTCATTCATTGTAGACATGATATTGTACAATTCTTCAAATTAAAATCCTTAAACCTTCTTAAAATGCATCTAAATTATTTTTTACATCTTAGTTCCACACTACAAAACCATACATATCATCAAAGAGGGACAGGTGTAAAAAAATATAAGGCTCATCCAAGGTCTTACCTAAAATTAGTAAATTCAGACCTGATATTGTACAATTCTTCAAATTTTGAACTTGTTAGAATCCTTGAACCTTCTTAAAATTCATCTAAAGGGCCTCTAAACTATATTTTACATCTTAGTTCCATATCATAAAACTATAACTGTCATTAAAGAGGGACAAATGTAAAAAACAAAAGAGTCGTCCAAGGTCATACCTATAATTCGAAAATTCAGACCTGATATTGTACAATTCTTAAAATTTTTGACTCATTAAAATCCCTAAACACTCTTCAAAACCATCTAAATCATTTTTAATATTTTAGTTCCACACTACAAAACAATACATATCATCAAAGAGTGACAGATGTAAAAACATAAGAGCCATCAAAGGTCTTACCTGAAATTCGTAAATTCAGACCTGATATTGTACAATTCTTCAAATTTTGAACTTGTTAAAATCCTTAAACCTTCTTAAAAACCATCTAAATTATTTTGTACATCTTAGTTCCACACTACAAAACCATAAATATCATCAAAGGGGGACAGATGTAAAAAATCTAAGGCTCATCCAAGGTCTTACCTAAAATTCGTAAATTCAGACCTGATATTGTACAATTTTTGGAATTTTGAACTTGTTTAAAACATTAAACTTCCTTAAAACCCATTTTGATTATCTTTTACATCTTAGTGTCATACTTCAAAACCATATTTATCATCAAAGGAGGATAGATCTGGAAACCATAGGCATCAGCTATAGTCATACACAAAATCACCCCTCTCAAAAATGTCAAATTTTTCAAAAAATCAACAATTTTTTTCTCGGCTCCTACTAATTCAATTAGTTTGAACCTTTCAGGGCTTATAGGCCTGCTACTCGGCACTTCACATGAAATTTTCCAATGTCTTCCAGTGTCTGATTGAAAAGTGAGGCTCTAAATAGTAAGAAAATGGGTCACGAATTTGCCCCCTGGGGTACATACTTTGTACAATTTTTCAAATTCTGTAGAAGTGATTGGCATTATTTATTTTGCAAATGATTCATATATATAATCTCTATGTATGTAACTTACAAACATCAAGATATCTAAAGTGATTGAGAATGAAAAAATTATTTTCCCGGGGTGGGGTGTTTTTGGGGGGTGGGGGGCTAACCCCTGAAAAAAAAGAATTATGTACCACTCTGTGAAGCTATCACCTAGGTAGAATTTTCATCTAAGACTTCCCTCTAACTGAAAATGCTGCCAAACCAACTATACTCCATTTATTAAGAATTTTCCTCCTCGCTCTTAGAGTAATACCTTTTTATTAGCTTATAATCTTATCTAAATATATAAGCAACCCTGATATTTATAGGATATCCTATGATTTTGAGGAATATCATTTTTATCTACAAGGTGATATTGATATCTGCACGAGACAGCGAAGCGAACGAGTGCATATATCAATATCACAGAGTAGATTAAAATGATATTCTGAAAAAAATCATAGGATGTTCTTATTATCCTACACTTTTAAGGATTGTACTAAATGTATAATATCATTGCAAAATGAATTTCATGCCAAATAGAGTCAATATGGCGTGAAATCAACAAGCGGAGTATATCGTCACAATATCATCCGCATATTGGGTTTTCCGGAGTATATCGTCACGATATCCTCCGCCCGGAGTATATCATCACGATATCCTCCGGATATTCACTTTGCCAATAAATATCAAATTTATTTTTTAATGTTATTATACATTTAGTACACTAAGTGTAGGATAATTAAAGGATATCCTATTATTTTGAGGAATATCATTTTTATCTACGAGGTGATATCGATGTAATTTTGCCAATAAATATCAAATTTATTTTTTAATGTTATTATACATTTAGTATACTTAGTGTATATAATCATGATATATAAATATGTAATAATGAAAGTGTGATCTCATTTGGCATATTCATATGTCATTTTTACATACATCTATTTTTAATATAAATATCAATTTTGGGATTGTCAATTTGTGATGGCTTTGCCTTTTTGACATATTCATTTGTTGTTTTTGTTTATTCTTAAAATAACAAAGTTAGTTTTTCAATGTTGTCCCAAGTCAGAGTCCAATTAATCATCGCTCGGACTGCCCCCCCCCCTTCCCTCTTCATGTATTATAAATCACTGATTTTATCCAAATTCATTGGTCCCCACCTGATTATAGAGACGTTACATCTTTATAACAAAATGGATGAACTTCTGCCTGAGGGAATATTTATTTTCATCACTTTTACCAAAAAGGTCTACCTGTATGTTAATAGTAACATCCGGTAATCTGGTTACGGAAAAGCAAATATTTCCAGCAGCTCCAATAATCGAGTGAGAATTCTTCACCTCAGCACCAAGAAAACGGATGTAATAGCTTTTAACATACGAGTAAAACATTTGGATACAAATCGACCTCCTTCTTGGTGAAAATTGATGAAAATAAGAATTTCTTCCAACGGAAGATCATCCATTTTGTTACGAAGAAAACAGTTTAACCAGGTGGGGACCAGTGAAATTAAGACACTTCCCTTTATTATTGTAAAATCATTATACAGCGTATAGCCTTCTCTCTAATTTACAGGCTACCAAAAAGAGGATGCACAGGCTTGTTGGAAGGCTATCCATTAATCAAATGTGCCTTAAATGAGGATATTGAAGCACTTTTATATGTGTGTAACTACATCTACATATACATTATTACTAGCTGATGAAGAGGCCTCTACCCTTGCCATTAAGCAAAGCATTTATGAAAACAACTAGACCTTCATGTGCAGTCACACTCTTTCTAACATGGATTTGCCTTGGTCTCTGGCAAAGAAACAACAATCATAGATAAGTAAGATTAAAAAAATGTTGTACCCGTATATTAGTTTTTTTTAACTGAGATGCTCCAGTTAAAAACAAGGTATTGACATGCAAAATGTCACCACCTGCCATTTTTTACAGATGCTGAATGCCAACCGCCAAACCTGAACACTGACCGCTGAACACTGTCCACAAAAAAGTTGGAAACTATAACAATATGTCACCACTTCTGTTGGTGGTGACATAATAATGTGAGTATGTAAACTACAGCTGTGACGACCAAACATTCAGGTGGATCAATATATTCAATTAGAATAGGGAGATAGATGAAGTAAAACTTGAACTCATGAATTGTTAATTTCAGAACTATTTTCACCTCTTCTACTGGGCAAGATGCAATTTCATCCCCTCATCCGTCTGAGAGGCCTAATAAGTGAATGAGTTTAAGATGAAATTAAAAACCCACAAAGCAATATTACATGTAGTACAATACATCAATTAAACAGGTGTGTGTACATGTACTTCATTATTATTAATGGTTAATTAATTTGACTACTTGTTTTGAGAGCTATATTCTACAATGAATATCAGTCTAAATCAAGCCTAAAACATGGGCAAATTATCAATCAACCCTACAAAGCAATGCAATGATTCATTCAGTCTTAATTGTTAGTAGCGCCAAATCCTACAAAGGGCATTCCTTGACTTCTCAAGCCAGGCTATAATACTGTAGCATCAAGTAGAAAGTAGAAAGTACAAAGCAATGTCAGTAATATAGTAAATGCATCAAACAATACACTGATCAAGCAATGGCTTTTGTTAGTACAAAACCTAAAGCTTCCATTTTTGGGCAAAACTACATGGCAAGTTGCCATCTACAATATGGTTGAATGAGATACAACAGCAAAACCATCAAAAGTGAATGTTGGTGATAGCAGATATAGGTGTTCATATTTTAGAGGTGACTCTGATGACATGGAAATCAACAGTTTAACCTAAAATGTGTTCACATTTCAAACTGTTCTATTTAGATGTTCACAAACTCAGGTTTTATTGTATTTGATCACAGAGCCTATAAAGCAATAAGGCAGTAATGAAGATAAAGGCTCAATTTTAGTCTGGCTTCTGGCATCTTTGCAGAAATGGCTCTAGTGTTAGAGTTAGTACAGCTATACTATGAAGCAAATCCAGGAATCTGAAAATCCATCTCTTCATGACTCACTCAATCACTCTCAGGTTCCTTCTCTGGAACCTGATCTTCTGTTTCATCATTTTGATTAGTTTGTTCCTCAAACGACTGATCAGCAGTTCTGTCATCTGATTGGTCCTCTTCTGTTGCCTTGGTAACAACATCGCCATTTTCATGTGAGATCATTGTAAGGTGAACTGTCGATGTCTAGTTCACATAAATGGTAAAAATTATTTTAGTAAATTATAAATAAGAACATCATACATACAGTTTTGTACTCAAACCATCATATTTTTCAATAACCTTGAATACAGATGTAAATAGTCTTGCAAAATATCATTGTGTATCTCCCCCTCCCCAAACACACACAGTACACTGTACCAAAACAAGGGTTTGCTTTTGAAAATGTAAACCAGGGAGACGAAGACAATAGATGCTAGATGAGAATGGTTAATATAAACATTGGTGTATCAGGAACTAATAATTACAAGAACGAAAATTAATAAAACATAGATATATCTTACCTCATTTTGTGGTGACTCTTCAGTCTCTGTTGACGTAACATTCACCTCGGACTCGGAGACTTCTTTAGAAGGCGCCATCTTTAGGAATTCAAATAACGCATCTATTTCCACGGATTCCTCAAATGCTTCAAAGTCCTATAATATAAAGAAAGAGCTGTACATACATGTAGCATCATTTCCAACTGTCCATAGGCATATAAGACAGCGAAGGAAACAGTAAACGGCATATGGATAGATCAATTATTCCCTTCTCTAGGGAAATTCAGAAGAATCCTTCAGGATATATTAACACATTAATGTCCATGTGTGTAATGGCATCAACATCTTTGGTTCTCAATCTTACTGACAAAATTTAAAAAATTAAAGTTCAGGATTTAAGTCAAGGACTCATTGAATTATGGATTTAGGTATTCCATGTGTGTCTTATGCAGCTTGTAAAAAATGGGGATCATAGCCTCACATACAGAAAATGAGTGCAAAATTCATTATTCTTCCCAATAGTTAAATTTTGCTTCTTAAAAGAAAGTTTCATCTTTATATTTAGTACAAGGCTCAGTGCCTCAACGTTCAATACATTGAGTCAACAACTTAAATGCTTTTCACACAAGGCAAAAGAACAACAACACAACTTCTAGTGAAAATTAATTGAAAAATTTTAAACTTGCTGCAATGGGTACATACCCCTAAATACTCCTGGTCATTGAATATCTGTGGTGGTAATGGAAATGTGCCCTCTTTCTTTGTTTTACTGTGTTCCCGCATAAAGATTTTCTCATTTTCATTGTTGGGTGATGATATATCAACCTCTTCAAATTCAATCTTCCGACTTTGCAGGATACTTAAAATTTTGGACTGCTCCGCCTTTAACTGAAAGTCAAAAGAAACACATAAATTGTAGGGTTTTAGTAACTAAATTCACATATTTTGTTAAAACATATTCTGCAACTCAATACTAGGTAAAATAATTGCATCTTCAGGATATGGCCCATGCTGGATTTAGTTTTGATTTAACATCCAATGAGCTTTTACTATTGAACATTCAAATTGGTTATAGCAGGGAAGAAGAAGGTACAGATTCTGGACACTTGCTTAGGAGGATGAATTGCAAGGAGTTAATTCATATATAATGTATGACACATCAATTTAATTTGAGGCCTATATCCTTGGTCTATGCATCATACTGTACAAAGAAATCATTATTTAATTTTAATTTCAAAAAATTAATTTCAATAAATGATCAAGTGTAATTTTGATCATTACCAGATGTTCACACTGAGAATGTAATGGTCACAAACTATTCAGAATGTAATGTTTGTATACATGGGTGATGTCACAAACTATTTAGAATGTAATGTTTGTATACATGGTATCACAAACTGTTTAGAATCAGGTTACATAAAGATTTAAAGTTTCAAAAGGAAAAGTCAGTCTCCTAATGGGCAATATAATATGAGCTCCCGGTATATGGTTTTGGATGAAATCATCATACCTAGTCTAAGAAATTAGAAAACGCTAAATGGCATTCAAACTTGGCATAATTCTGGAAGATGAAGATCTTGCAGTATATGAACTATACTGAACAGGGGTTTCACTAGAATTTGTCACAACAGGCAAAATTAATGGAAATAATAATATTTAACATGGAAAATTTGGAAAAGTCCCTATTAACAACAAACGATTTTGTGAAAACAACCTGTGAAAATCGCCTGCTGCCTACTGCTAATGAAACCCCTGCTGTAGTGACACCATGATTCCATGAAGTAAATCATCTCAATATATAGTACTTGTATGATCAAAATAAAACCTGTTTAAAATGTAATTATCTCACTGACGCCAGATGTGCTATACTTAATTTTCAGTGAGTTTAAATGTCACTGGTCTTCATTACAACATTATGATATATGAATATCAATCCTGATAAATGGAGTGAACCAGGCTGTCAATGTTATTATCTGCTTAGAGATGTTGATATTATTGCCCATGTCTAAGTCCATTTTTATCAATTTATTTTTATTGATTGAGCGAAGCAAACTATAATTCATCAGAATTTTTTTTCAAAAAGTTTTAGCAAAATATGGAAAGGATATAAGGGTCTTCTTCAATTTATTATTTCATTTGCAACAACATCTTACGCTGGCAGAGCAGTACATACTGGTATATCAATATACAGCAGATCAGGTACGCTTTCATTCAATGAGGAGTGAAATAATTTAATACAAATGCCAATATAAACATTTGCTGGAATTACATCATGCGTTTTAGAAAAGCGCCTAAGGTTTTAACCCGATTTCTCCATATCTACATATTTAAAGTGCATGAAAGGCGTTTAAGAAATGACAGGTGTAATTCCAAAATAAAATTCCTAAGGCGCTTTAAAAATGTTGGTGTAATCATGATGGCAATTTTGTAAAGCGTTTTTTCTGGTAATTCCAGGAATTGCCAAATATTTCACCAATTTATAGGATGCAAATCATTAAGATGTAATCTACAAACTATTTTAATTATCATTGCAGTGATATTCCCAGCATTAAAGCAAGTGGGTGTAGCACCCACATGAGAAAATCCTGGGGAGATCACTGCATTGATATTTACTGCCTCCATGTACCATTTTATCTGATATTGCCTTTTTGATTGAAATGAAAGACTGCAAATCTGGTTATCCCCTTTATAATAGATCTGTGGGGTGGGGCATGGGGGTGGGGCATGGGGTTGGGCATTGGGTAGACAGCAACATGATACTAGATTAAAGTGTTAAATGTTGGAGAGCAACAATCATATTCCCGTTATACAAATAAATGCATGGAACATACAGATAGGCTTAAGTATTTACCTTTTGATAACAAGTATACAATAGTACTTTCCTGTCATTGTAAAGTGATATGCCAAATCATTTTACTATCTAGATCTATAAATGTGACAATATTACAGATATTGGTCGATGAGTCAAGATGAACACTATTGGGCTAAAATAGAACTTTGGCTGGTGAGTCAGGGCTGCAGCACCAAGCCATAAATGGTTCAGCTGGTTCACCAGTTAAGAATTGCAGGGTCACTGATGTGGAAAAAGTAAATAAAAAATAGGTTGAATAAAAACTGATATCGATGTTGAAATTGTCTTGGTTGAATAAATGCCTAATTTTTGTACCAATAGATGGAGAAATTTTGATGGTTGAAATAAGTTAAAAAATAAAATGCAATCATTGCTCTAAAAATGAAAGTTTCTTCATTCTGCCCATAAACCTATACAATTTGGGATTCAAGTTCATTAAAAAGAATCCATAAATACTCAGGAATTCAATTCAAGTATGCTATTTTTGTCAACATTATGTGCCCTAAACTACTAAATTCTAATATATAGACGTGAGGGTGCAGGACTATAAGTTTTGGTATTAGATAAAGAGGTGTATATTATTGTTTGTAAAAATATATGATATCCATTCACTATTCATATTCAATATATGATTTAAATTATGAATTATTCACATACTTAGCAAATAATAATTTATAATTACAGCCATAACCAGAGATTGTAGGTCTAATTAAGGGGAGGCATCAATACTTCAATGTCAGATTGAAAACTAAATAAATCTACTTAGGGGGGAGGGGGTTCAAACCCATTTCAGTTTGCTATCCGACAAATTTCAACATTTCAAATTTTTGGCGATTTTGACTCAGAATGCCTCGGAATGGTTTAAAAATAGAGATTTTACCTGATGCTTTCTTCGTCAAGATCATTCCAATGGATTCTATTTTATCAATAGTTGTTAAAAGCCACAAATTACGATAGGAACTAACAAAAAAACTAGATCGTGTTTAGACTTTCATGGTATTGTTTGTTTGTTTGTTTGTTTGTCTCCTAAGGACTGCGACTTCTATGTAATATGAATCCGAGGAGTATTTTCATGCATTTTGAATGTTTTTCATCTAAAAAACACCAATATACTGTAAAACATTTTAAATTGTTTTGGGGATTATGTGGTGTAATCTTATCTTGTTCTAAGCCCATGTAAACGCTGATCATGAAACCCTATTTGTTTCATTAATCTTGAATCTGATGGACAATTGCTATTCATTAAGGTGCTATGGAAGTTAACAGGAAATGACAAAACAGGAAGTGACAAAGCCATGCTGGATTTTGAAAATTTTTTGAACCAAGATAACAGAGTTCTGTTTGGACCTCCTGTCAGTTTAACTAGTTCCACATATCATTTACATGACCGGGAACACAACGGAAATGGTCAGAATGACCATAAACATGATGAAATAACCTTTTCAGCCCTCTGAAAATGTGCCTGAAAAACAGCTAAGAGTAGGTGCTCAGGAAAGGTCACTGAACAGAATCTTTTGACTTTTTCAGAAAATCTGCCCAATATATTGCTTAAAATGATACAATTTAAAAAAATTTGATATCATTCTTAGAAAAAGAAAAAAATGAATTGAAAATCGATCGATTTACCTTTTTACTACAGCCATTATTGTTTCAGACAATTTTTTAAAATTTCAAAGATTGTATCATTTAGAGCAATATATTGGACACGTTTTCTGAAAAAATCTGTTCAGTGACCTTTCCCGAGCACCTACTTTTAGCTATTTTTCAGTCACATTTTAAGAGGGCTGAAAAGGTTATTTCATCATTTTTATGGTCATTCTGACCATTTCCATTGTGTTCCCAGTCATGTAAATGATATGTGGAACTAGTAAAACTGACTAGAGGTCCAAACAGAACTCTGATATCTTGGTTCAAAAAACTTTCAAAATCCAGCATGGCTTTGTCACTTCCTGTTTTGTCATTTCCTGTTTAACTTCCATGGCACCTTAACTGAAATAAAATCAACAGACAGTTAGAGCATTTTCATCACCGCATTTTATCGCTGCCATATTCTTTTGTCATGGAGTCTAGACCTCCCTGGGAGTCAATTGCTACACAGGTAATTTGCGGCAGGTTCCTTTTTTAGTAAGGAATTTAGCTCATGCACATTAGATTGAATAATTTAATTGGTTCAGATTTCGAACATGCATGTCCACGAGTTAATTATTTTAACTAGAACCTGTTGCAGATTGCTCTTTTTCAGTATTTCAATTCAAGTTTGACATGGCGTGATTTCAAAGGTTTTTCTCAGTGTTGGGGAAAGAAAGGTAACCCTGGGTCAGATATAGGTAGTATGTATATTTCCTTTACATCATGGGACATATTTTCCTTGCATTCATTTGAATGCCAATGGTACAACTTGCGTCCTTTGGACCATGTTTGGACCAATTTCACCTTGATTTAATTTGGCTAGATCTACATATCGTTTAAATGACATAAGCCGTACAAATTCAGACCAGCTTATTTGCAATAGTTTCAACGTGTTAACAAATTGAGAATATTTGTCGATTTACTGATTATAAGTCTCCACACAATCCCATGTATCTCAATATTAAAATATCTCATCTGGCTGGATTTTTTTATTTTTGCCGGTATTTTTCAACTATTGTTGAAACACTTGTTGCACAAAAATGCATGCTTACTTACTTTCATATTGCCAGACAGGAGCGAAACATAAACCTTTACAACCATCTTGGGTAGTTAGTAAGGCTGAGTTTGACAGTTATTTTACAAACAGAGCTAAACAGTGATGAGAGGGACCGATAACTTTCACTTCCGTGTCAAGGAGGATTGGCTCCCAGGATCGAAACTCGATATTTTCCAACAATGAAAACGTCGAAATGTCGTTATTTTCTGAAATTAAAACCGACTATAAATTCAAAATAAACAGTTCAAAAGATTCGAACCAATATCTCGATCATTTCTTGTGAGTTTTGGAATTTTTCGTTTGGAAATAAGACCAAAATTCACGATTTAAATGTTGAAGTGAACAAAATGGCGGCTGTTTGAATTCGAATTTTGTATTACGACATACCCATATATGGGACAGAATATCGGTGGTGCACTCTGGGAGCCAATCCTCCTTGCTTCCGTGTGTTCTATGGCAAAATATAGTGACGTCACAAATTTTGTGTAGAAGCGCAGAAATTGATGACGAGTTATTTACACCATTATTGCCGTTGCTGGGTGCATAAACAACAGAAATTCCATTCGATTTCACCTGATTTCATTCCTTTGTTGCACTTATTTGTCGATAAAAATTATTTCAATTGCACATGAATAATTCAAGAACAAATTGGTGAGTATACAAAACAACTATCTTTCTCTATTCCGGTGGAAATTGATATTTAAAGTCTGCAAATTCCTGAGATTTTAAAAAAAAAATTCACTTTCAGATCAAAAATGAGAATTCTTGATTTTCAGTTCTAAATAATATTGTTTTAGATTACTCTACCGAGCTGACAGAAGTCAGCTCTGGGAAGTTGGATGTATGTGAACTTGAAAAGAATAAATCGAGCCCATTTTGACTAAACGCTGTACTGAGTAGCGTTTATAATACGCTATATATTTGAATCAATACATAATTTATTTGTTGTTACCTTATTTTGTTCCTTCAACAGTCTGTTGTTGTAGTAAATCAATGTTCTTGTAGACAACAAAACTTTTGAATTTAGATTCCAGCCATTTTAGGTCACGCGAGATCTCGTGACTTTCGAAAGTAAAAATTTGCTACAAAATAACTCGCGCTAGCTAAATATGATATAGTCACGTGATCTCTCAGCGGTAATACCCATGCGCATAAAAGTACAATGCGCATGTGCACGCATGCGTAAAAAGTTAAAAAATGGTGCGCGCCAGATTTGGAATTTCTCCATTTTAACTGCAATTACACAAGAAGTAGGACTTATTGTCACCACGCGTGATGAAAAGGGCAAGTTACATTCAATTATCTTCTTAAATACCGTTTCTTATTCCAGCGCGCCTGCTGGAAGTTGGAGAAAACCGCTTCACAGGACGGTATATTCTAACGGTGCTTCAGCTGGCTTTTGAGCCAGCTGTGTTCAGTAAGTTTTAGACGGGCTGGCCCGCCTCAGATTAGTTGGACTCCCGGGATTGGACAATAGCAGTTTTGATTTACATCAGATCAGGGGCAGTAATATTAACTTGCAGAAACCGTGTTTATTGCGAATTACCTAGGCTAATAGCCTACAGTTACCCACTTCAAGAGCCATGTTAGATTTTGAAACTTATGGCTCTCAAACGGGGAAGTGAACAGCTGATTAATAGTGACCTTTGAAATCGAATTAAGTCGATCCGCGGCTTACTTTTGGTCTCTAACTGTATCTTACTTCAGTATCATCAATCCGTGTAAGTATTGGAGCGCTGAAGTACTTCCTTTTCGATCAAGACTTGTAATTGTTAGTCGAGTGAATGTTTTTACTGCCAAATTCCAATATGGCGTTTTCTGCTCAGACATTTTCGTAAATCTCCGGAGGTTGTCCGAACCTAACTAATTCTCAAAATTCATTTCGCTCGTTGCGTATCTCGCTCCTAGCAAACCGCCATATTGGAAATAGGTCTCAAAAACATTCACTCGATGAACAATTTACAAGTCTTGATTGAAAAAGAAGTATTTCAGCGCTCTAATACTTACACGGATTGATGATACTGATGTAAGACACAGTTAGAGACCAAAAGTAAGCCACGGATCGACTTAATTCGATTTCAAAGGTCACAATCATTCAGCTGTCCAAATGATCCGTGGGAAAGCTATTATATCAAAATCCAAATAGCTTTCGCAGGAAGTAAGCCTACAGTACATGTCAAAGGAACTTGTAGCAATTTGATATGAGCATCCTCCGATCACAGGGCTTCAAAATCCAGAATACATTCTTTCTTTTTACCCTCTGCGATAAGCAGTTAACATTTCCCCGATTAAGAACTCGCAATCTGATTCGCTGTCGCATCACTGCGACAGAAACATGTATAAGCCATTGCGCATAATTAGATCATGTGATTCAGTTTAATCGGGATCCAAATTGGTTGTAGCAGGGGGAAGAAGGAGGTACGGATTCTGGATACCTGCTTAGGTGGATGTGATATGAGATGCTTATGTCAGATCTAAATCACTCAGATCTGACATAAGCATCTCATATCATAGTGCTACAAATTACTGTGCTACATGTATGGCATGTGCATCTACACATCTAGATCTTTGGCTTTCAAGAGAATGTAAAGCCCATGTTTGATCTACACTCAGTAGACAAACATGTTAAATAAATGCCTCCGTCTATCCTTCATGTGTCATGCGTTAAACGTTGACATTTCCAGTTACTTTGTCATGGGGCTATTTCGATCATGGGGGGCTATTTTGACATTAGTTATCCATGGGCTTTCTTGAAAACCCATGGTTTATCATTTCAATATGCATACACTGCCATGTTTTTTTTGGAAAATGAATTGAAATCTCCAGTGGAGATATCTTTATCCAAAATGGCCAACCCAGAAAACGATTGTTGAAGTAGCCCCACAACCACTGGGGAGTATCGTGATGCAACAACACCGTGTTGTTGCATCAAGATGGCCAGACTTCCGGTGATAGATTTTCGTACGATATTTTGTTTCCTCAATTAAACCCATTTCTAGGACGAGTTGCTCAATAACCATACACGTGCAGTTAGCGCACGATCTATATTTAAAGAAACTGTCATTAGTATACATGTACCATCACCAAGAAGCAATAAGTTCACGGTTTTAGTTTCTCACTATTGATGCAACAACACCAAACCGAAGATGCAACAACACTCCTCTAGATTTGAGCAATGATGCAGCAACACCAATTAATAGTATAATTTCAGAAGACCACAAATCTCGAGAGGAACAGATTTTTAAATGCTGCAACACCGTTACCCATTACCCATATTTGCGTTCTTCTCAAGGCATTCAAAATACACGTCCTGAGGACGAAGATCCTTTATATGTATTTTCAAAAATGTATACTTTTAAATATTATAATGCACTGGACGTTGTTCTATATCATAGTTCAATCGCCTTTAACATGGCAAGCTTTAGTAACCCAATCTATTTTCATAAACCACTGTTCCATAGCTTGATGACCCTGACTCCAGATAGTATCATTCAAAATGATGGACAAACATCTTTCGTTCTGGGTAAACATGACGAGCTATTGGAAATTAGTACCTGTCATTCATCTGTGGAACAGTGATAAACTAGTAGTTGCTAGTTATTGCTCTCTTTGGATTCCTTCTCTCCGACTGAGTAAAAAGGTAAGCAAAAGTGATAAGATTAAGGGCCCAAAAAGGTAAATTGATAGGGGCACAGTTATCCCAGATATCCCAGGCCTTCGGGAGATATCATATTGTCTCTCGGAATAAAACCAATATTGAATCCCTCTCAGTAAATAGCCTTTATATAATAGCATTGTATAACTCCAATATCATTAAACCAACACTCATCATATACAACTCTTGAGAACGATGTACAACTCCTGGATAGCGTAAACTCCTGAGCAGCGTATACAACTAAACTTGATATATGACATCATACTTTGGGTGGGATAACAAAGGATATACAATATACAATTGTAGACCTCTCTTGAGGTCAACTGGCAAAATTGTATACCGATACTGTAATCCTAAAAAGTTCGGAGGTCGAGGTCAACAGTACTCTCAGGGTTTACTGTTGAGGTATACACTTTTGCCAGTTGACCGAAAAGAGAGGTTAACAATTGTTCTGTTAGTCCAAATAATATAATAATTGGACGAATATATAATCGAATATCACGTGAACATATTTGATAAGTAAAGGTATCATATTTTAGCAAAAAAATCCCCAAACTGTCGAATACTTATAATTTTTTAACTTATTTTTTCAAAATTAAAAAAATTCCAACATTAAAAAACAATTTTTCAAAGATAGGGGTCAACAGTACCCAGTAGTGGTCAACAGTTTACAATTGTTGACCTCCCCAGAGGTCAACCGGCAAAATTGTATACCGACACTGTAAACCGAAAAACGAGGTCAACAGTAGTTTCAAGGTTTAGAGTCGAGATATATGATTTTGACGGTTGATCGAATGGAGAGGTCTACAATTGTTTTGTTAGTCCGAGTAAACTAATAATACACATATAGACGACAATCATCAATCGGCATGGCTTCATTTCACAACCTTTTCTCCGAACCACGTTAGCAATATTTTTTTAGAAAATCTGGAGACAGATTTTGTTGACTGCTCATCAACCAATCAGAATTGAGTATTTCAATTGAGGTACTAACAACACAAAATGACTGATATCTGTTGTCTTTCCAAAATTATATTAGTTATTTGTAAGTGCAAGTAGCTTAACTCTGTATTTGGCACACCACGGCGTACTCGTTAGTGAATTAATGTTAATTTTAAGTTTCTATTTGTATTTTTGCTATACTTGTCGCCTAGTACAGAGTAAAGTCACTTTCATCATCGTTTACAAAATGTCCGTCTTCCATGTTTTTTTGTGACGTCATGAAACTTTTTTTCAGAAGTAGCGGTCAACAGTACCTAGTAGCGGTCAACAGTACATAATTTTGACCGCTAATCACCCAATCAGAATCGAGTATTTCAGTTGAGGTACTAACAATACATTTTGTTGACTGCTCATCAACCAATCAGAATTGAGTATTTCAATTGAGGTACTAACAACACAAAATGACTGATATCTGTTGTCTTTCCAAAATTATATTAGTTATTTGTAAGCAATTTCGATTCGGTGAATCAAGGGCATTTAATTTAGAAAATGTATAATTTTTATTTTTCAGATACAATATCAATGAGATTGCCTCCCGGGGATTCTGTACTTTATTTAGTTTGCCTTGTATATCCTTTTAACTTTGATATAGACAAAGAAACCAAACAAAATACGTTTCGTTCATGGACCACTGACTCACGCGTTTAATTCATGTCCCGACCTACACCTGTAAACAGAACATAAAACAGTTTCTCTTGTTGTTCAATGATACATTATATTGGCGTTTTTGCATCAGTACATTGGTGTTGTTGCATCATCGATAAGAAACAGAGTGGTGTTGTTGCATCAATAGTGAGGAATTAAAACCACGAATTTATCGCTTCTTGATGATGGTACATGTATACCAATGACAGTTTTTTAAAATATAGATCATGCGCTAACTGCATGTGTATGATTATTGAGCAACTCGTCCTAGAAATGGGTGTAAATTGGGAAAACAAAACATCGTACGAAAATCTATCACCGGAAGTCTGGCCATCTTGATGCAACAACACGGTGTTGTTGCATCACGATACCCCCCAGTGACAACAAAGTTTGCCTTTTACCATTTCTGTGTTGTTGTTATGTTCACTATTCACTTTTCACTGACAAAGGTTTCATATATTTGTACTACAGTTACTCTACTTTCAAGTCCCTGTACCCCTTCCTTGCTTCTTTCTTACACAAGGAAAACGACAAGGGGCTGGAAGACTGAGACATATCACTGGCGGATCCAGACGCTAGCAAAGGGGGGGGGGGGGGGGCATAACACAACTTATTTATTCTATGACAAGTGAAATTTTCAGGACACCAATATCAAGGTTTGTTTTCTTAAAGTGTTCTCATTATTTCCTGAAAAATGCATCCACATTTTGATCAAGAGAAAATCTAGTGTCTGCTGCATCCATTTTGACAGTTTCACCATAGATAATATTCAAACAAATTGACTGTTTCTACTCTAAACAAAAATGCTTTCCCGGGAATATTTGAGCGAGAGATGCACAGCGGAGATAATATATCCCTCTTACCCAAGATATCAATTCTATATCCCGCTGCACTGTTATGTACCTGAAACCTCACTTGTCATAGGTTAAAAGAGTGTTATCCTACCAGTTATATTGTCAGTACATTTAGTTTGTCACTTTTATGTTTTTTAGATTGGTTTAATATTGTCTTCCCACTAATATGCATGAAGCATGACTTAGCTAACATCACCACACAAGGGCACTAAAATGTCTGGCCGGACCAGGAGTCGTTCCCGATCACGGGAGAGGTCATATGCAGACTCATATGACTCCCGATCATACACAGATTACAGTGATTCATTTGTCTCTGAGACTGATTCTGAATATGATAGACGTATGAAAAACAAGAAAAAGTCAACTCTGGCTACAACAAGTAAGTTGCAATTAGATAAATAACAATAACAATTGAAAATTCAGAGTTTGGCGTATTGAAAAAAGGGGGTGCTTTGTGCATTCTTAGTAAGATTTAAGTACAATGATTATTTGGCATAGTCGAGAAAAAAAACAGAACTCTGAGAATTTTGCTTTTTACCAAAACTTATTTACTCAAAGAAAAATCAGCAGTCCAAAAAAAGATTTATAATGGTTTCTTTTTAGATTTTGTGGTGTATTACTCATATCCCACTCTTGATCAAACAGAGAATATGGATAAAGTTGATGGGTAGATAAATAGAATATCAAATAGTGATTTAGGTAATAACAACATGTAAGTAAATAGGAGGAATTTGCTCAAGTAATGTATCTGTTTGGTTAGTAAGATGGTGTTGGGTTCTCTAAGATACAATATTTCTCATAGATACAGAATTCATTCCTCATAGGACAATGAAGATGTATAGGATGTTGGTGTAAAAAGTCAGTTTTTAATTCTGAATTAAACCGATTTAAAGGTGATTCTGCATTAGAATTTAATTTCTCATATTGCTGCATTTGATTATGTGAGTAAAATCAGAAGGGATTAGATGTATGGGAGCTCCATAAGTTGAGATTAAGAGGAAAGAAGGATTCAGAGGATCCAAATGAGCTGAAGAAGAGAATAAAACATTTCTACATAGAAATCAATTTTACTGGAAAACTCTGAAAAGTTTACTTATGAATAATTTCTGAAGAAAAACAAATAAAAAGTTATTCAATTATGACTGATGAATGCTGCATCTATTGCGAACTTGAAGAAATGGAAAAGGCTTTAGCATTAGAGAAAGAAAAGAATCAGCCAGAGAATGCCGATCAGACATATGAGTTCCAACAGATGGATCGACGCCTCAAAGTGATTGAAACCTTGGAACAGCAGATGAAAATTATGCTCACACAGAGGAAAGTTTTTAATTCCCCACGGTCACCTAGGGGAACAAACTTTCCGTTAGTAGGTGAGATGGTGTTAGCTGAAAATAATTTATATTAACTGATATTACTAAAGTAATGGTCAGAATCAAAGTGTTTTTTTTATTTGATTTAATGTATTTTAGTTCTGTATTTTAGCAATTACACCCCGGGTGATCAATATCCTGTGTTCCGAATTTCGTTCCAGCAAGTCAGTGACCCGAGTTGTGTTTTACTGAATCCCGACAAATATGGCGGCTAATTTGACAACAGACGATGTTGATGTCGACAATTATTCAAAACTTTCTGACAGCATAAGGTAAGACTGAATATAGAGTGGCGCATTCGGTGCCTAAATATGTTTGCAACATTTTCTTAGTTGTTTATCCATATGCGTTGGGCATTACTGCTAATCGAAGACGTGACCGTAAACGTGACCTCATTTTCAACGCTCGCTGGAAAGTATGTCACCGAGCAGTTTTTGACCTTCTGTTAGTTAATGAGATAAACTGTTATCATGGTATAATTGCTGGGTAGACGTTTAAAGTATGTACCAACTCGTGCTTCCAGTGAATGTAAACCATTTCTTTGCATAAGCGTCCTAGAAGGCATAATAAGATATATTCCATAGTACCGAATAGGAATCGCCAGTGTTCCGACGCACTTCATGGATAAATGCTCATAGACTATTGAATCATAATGAACAGAAGCAGTGTATACTCACGTGTGATATCTTAATTTATCAAAAATAAGAATTGAATGCATTTGATAATAATGATACTTTGCCAACTTGACTGATTTTTTTTCTAGTCTGAGTAATTAATAAATGAGTAGTGGATTTGATTAATTGAGGATTTCCCATGTTAAAATATGTGAAAATTGTCAAGAGGCCACACACATCAGAGGATGAGAGTACAATACAACATGTGTAAATTATGAGACTATGTTGCAACACCTTCAAAGAATGGTCATTTCACAATCCACATTGCACATACTGTAGCAGGCATTTTTATGATATATTTTAACACTGTCACAAAAACCAGGGATTGACAAAAAATATAGCATATCATATAGCAGGTATATGCCAGGTATTGTAATATATTTCAACGTTGTCACTGTTAGAGTAGGCATTACAATTTGCCCATAAAAATATAATAATATTGACAACAGGCTAAAAAGTCTTCACTTAGTAAGCCATAAATGTCACATAAAGGCGACGGTCACACCAGGCTTTCACGATAGCATTGCTAAGGTAATAGTCCCTGGTATGACTTCCGAATATGAAGGATCCGTAGCACACTATTAGCGCAGCAACATTTGAAGCAATATTTATGAAGGTGTATATGTCTTGATTTTTTTAAAATACCATTTGCCGAAAAAACTTCCGGCTTTCGGGTCGAAAAATGTATTTCATCACAAGGGGTCAAAAACGTAAATATTTTGATTCGAACTTTTATAAATTTTATAAGACACAGACCGTTATTCTAAGCATACGAACAAAAAAATTGATTATCATAATGTCAAAATTACTATGATTTTACTGTAGATGTCGGTGTTTAATTAGTGTAATTACACAAGTGTGTTTTTCAGATTTTGTTTGATTTTTCAAATATGAGCTAAGCCGATTCAACAAAATTGTATGGAATATTTAGGTAATTTTTTTTGATTGGGAACGTATTAGTTTTCCGGGTAGTTTTCTTACCAGTTAAAACATTTTATTACCAGAATTTTTCCATATAATCGTAAAGGGTCTAACAACAAATTATTGTTGATGTTTTATAAAACATAATACAATAACAAATAGGTAAGATTCATATCTAATTCGATGTTACAGAGGTATTTGCATGTTCATATATTCCAAGGGCATGTCTAATAATCAATTAGAGTCATATGCAGTCGAACGCCTTACAATTCTTCCTCGACGTTAGTTGTGGCTATCATCAAGTTTTCTGATGGTTGTTTCTTCTTTGACCTTACCGAAGGATGCAATCAAATTTTAGGAAGATAATGATAACGATTTTTCTCAATTATTCATGAATTCGACCAAGTCTTGATGGTTGTTTCATAAGTAACTGAGCTATATCTAACTACGAGAAATGGAATTTTAGCTGTAGTCGCAATTAGTCAAGGGAGAGCAATATGCCCACCTTTATTGATAATGTTCACCGCTGAATAAAAGTTCATATCTTAAAACGTATTGAGACCCATTTTGCGAAAAACTAGCATAATTTAAGCATTTGTCATTCTAATAGAAAAGTGATTCATTTGTAGCATTTATCTTATTAATACCCGAGAAACAATACAAAATGTCGATACACTGATGACATAATCTTTTGGTATTGAATAGAAAAATAACCTCAAACTTTTAGCTTAGAAACCTAAATCATATACTTAAAATCATATTTTATTATTTGCTATTGCATTGTGTACTCCAAATTGTAAAAGTTTGGAAGTTTATTTTTTGGAAATTTTTTGACCTCTGTTAATGGCAGGCATAATTTAGCCTTAAAGCCGGAAGTATATTAAACGGTTATAATAAAAATTATTAGGGGACATATGAAGGTATGCTTATGTTAGGTCAAATATCGCTGCGCTATAGTGTGCTACCAGCTCCTTTATTAGACGTCCTAGAGATTTCATACCATGGACTATAATGGCAGGATCCATGCATAATTTATTAAATCAGGCCCGCAGATAGGAGGGGGGGGGGGCCTGGTCAGAAATTCTCTCAAAAACTTGCAGTTTTTCACCATTCTGAGCACTTTTCACATGATTTTTTGCCAAAACAACAGATGCTAGCCAGATCATACTTATAGTAGAAGGCTAGGCTCAAATAAACCTCAAATTGAGGTATTATCATTGAGATACTGATACTATACATACGATCGTGCTATCAAAACTGTCAAAAAGCCCCCCCCCCCTTGGCAAAAACTCCACCCTTGGTAAAACCGCTCACCAATGGTGAATCCTGGATACGGGCCTGTAAATGGTCATCGTGGTTGTGCCAAACAACAATGCAATGTTTTGATTTGCACACATTTTTTATTTTTAAAAATCTAATTGAGAGCATCCTAATCATGTGAAAAGTTCAATTTTTTTTGAATAGTTATATTCCTTCTATAAAGTGGGTACACTTTTTGGGACACCCTGTATTTGCAGTTCAATGCCAATGTGGAAATCAATATACAGGGAAATTCGATCTTGAATTTGTAAAATAATAACAAGAAAGGTAGCACCAAATTAGCTTGATGTATTCATGAATGGATTCTCAAAAGTATACAAAATATATATAATCTTATTCTGTAGCTTCGGGACAATGGCGATTCCTATTCGGTAGAATGGAATATATCTTTCAACGACTTCTATGACGCTTATGAAAGGAAATAGCTTGGATTCAAACATAGCACAAGTTGAGACATACTAATAAGGTATACTTTACAGTTATACAATGCTCAGAGTATCCATCATTACTTACAGAAGGCAAAGAACGACTCGCTGATATCGTTTTCTGCGAGCTTTTCGAATTGGGTCATGTTGGTTTCATGCTTCGATTTGCATTAATAGCCTACACATATGGATAATCGTTTATGAACATGTTGAAAACATATTCCAGCACCGAATGCATTACTCTATATTCATTCTTTCCTTATGCTATCTGATTTGTTTGACATATTTTCGTCACCTGGCTCGTCGAGACGCCATATTCATCGGGATTCAGTAAAAACACAACTCGGGTCACTGACTTGCTGGAACGAAATTCGGAACACAGGATATTGATCACCCGGGGTGAATTAGCAACACGACATTTATTGCAAGACAAGTTTTAACATTTTGTGAATTGAAAGGTGTCCATTGTGTTGAATTTATATAGGTTGCCATGGTGTTTCATTAAACCTTGTTGTGCATCAGTTCATTCAAAATCTTGTGATGTAAAATACATGTAAGAGTAGACTTATTCAAGTTATTATTTGTTTGCCTATTATTAATTGCTAAAGGTTATAGATTAGTCTGGTAAGAATTCTTAAGAATTAAAATCAATAGCTCTTACTGGGATGT